GAGAATAATGTTGAAATTTTACGAGAATGAATTTGAAATAATACAAGAATAAAGTCATAGTATTACAAGAATAAAGTCATACAAGAATAAAGTCAAATAATACGAGAATAAAGTTGAAATATTATGAGAATAAAGTTGAAATATTACGAGAATAAAGTCAAATAATACGAGAATAAAGTTGAAATATTATGAGAATAAAGTCGAAATAATACGAGAATAAAGTTGAAATGTTACAATTCAATTCAAAAATACTTTATTAATCCCAGAGGGAAATTATTTGTTGTAGTAACTCGTTATCCTCATTTCATTAAGAGATGTTATAGACACTGATGGTTGTAGACAGGAAGGATCTCTTGTAAAGGTCCATCCCACAGTGGATCTTAAGAAACCGGCTGCAGATGCCGTCCGATCCGTCCACCCAGACTCGGCTGGCCTCTCAGTTCTCCCGGCCTGTAGGACCGCCCGAATGCCGGGCAGAACTCCTCCCAGAGCGATGGCCACTCCTCCCAGCAGTCTGCCGAGCTCCTCGTCGCTGTGGACAGCCAACTGTAGGTGCCGAGGGACAATCCTGTCCTTCAGCTGTCATGAGCCGTGTTTCCTGCTAGTTCCAGGATCTCAGTGTTCAGGCACTCGAGCACAGCTGGCAGGTAGATGAGAATGCATCCACAGAACATCCTTTTCAACTCACTTGAGATTTGGGGCTGTACGAGAATAAAGTCAAAATAATACGAGAATAAAGTTGAAATATTACGAGAATAAAGTCGAAATAATATAATAAAGTTGAAATATTACAAGAATAAAGTCAAAATAATATGAGAATAAAGTCGTACAAAAATAAAGTTTTAATATTACGAGAATAAAGTAGATATAATGCGAAAACAAAGTCATTGTATTACGAGAATAAAGTTTCAATATTACAAGAATAAAGTCATACGAGTATAATGTTGTAATATTACAAGAATAAAGTTGTAATACTATGAGAATAAGTAGAAATAATACGAGAATAAAGTTGTAATATTATGAGAATAAGTAGAAATAATATGAGAATAAAGTTGAAACAATACAAGAATAAAATCGTACGAGAATAATGTTGAAATATTACGAGAATAAAGGTGTAATATTATGAGAATAAGTAGAAATAATACGAGAATAAAGTTAAAATATTACAAGAATAAAGTCGTACGAGAATAAAGTTGAAATAACGTGACAATAAAGTCATAATATTATGAGAATAAAGTTGAAATAATACAAGATTAAACTCGTAAATTACCAGAGTAAAGTTGTAATATTTAATGAACTCTGACATGAAAAATCCTTCTTACAGCTGCAGTAAAATGATGAACGTTGACGTCGGCAGTACAATAGCAGGGGGCCCAACACACTGTGACATCTGGATTCTTATGATAAACTGAAGCCGTATGGCGTTGCAATTAATGGCTGCATTCATGGATTTAGTCGTCACATAATGTGGATGGAGGCATATTTCGCTAACAGTGACCCAAAAGTGATTGTGGACTACTTCATAAACCCAGTGACTCACACTGGAGGCTGTCCGCAGCAGGTGCGAGCCGACCCAGGACGAATTACGAGTTTATTCTCATAATATTATGACTTTATTCTTGTAATACTACGACTTTATGCTTTTAATACTATGCCTTTATTCTCGTAATATTAAGACTTTTTTCTTGTAATGTTTTTTTTTTTCTTAGCGTGGCCCTAACACTCCGTCGTAATATTCAGGTGCATTCTATGGTCTGAAATTTACGGTAATTATTTAGAGAGACCAGAACTCTCCAAAAGGCAGAAAATTAATTAATTTAAAAAAAAGTTTCCTACATTACACAGCAATAATTCTTGTTGCACATTTATGCAAGAAATAAAACTTTGACTGTTCAGAACAAAAATCGAACAAAATACTAAGACTGTATCGCACATGTTATAATTAAATCATATCTGTTTAAATTGAAATATTAGGTAAGTTAGGCACATTTTTTGACAATTATATCCTAAAATTCATCCATTTATAAAAGCAAGCTTCGTGTTAGAGTTTACTTTTGGAAATTATTGAACATTGTTAATTATAAGAAGAAATTTATATTGATAACCTAAACATTCAACACAGTTTGATAAAAAGAACGCTGCTTTCAAAAGATATGAAACTTGTTTAAAGGGATTAAATGTTCTGTGTTGCTGGAAAAGATCAACGCAACTGTTGTTTTGTTGGATTTAAATGGTTTTGAACTTCATGCTGTAAGACGGTGGGGTCCAACCCTAAAGTTCACAGCTTGGATTTGTCTTGACGCCTCAAAGACAAGTCGTTACACTCGACTGACACTGTTAAAGGACACTTCTTACTTCAGTGAGGATCGCACAGAATAAGGCACGTTGAAAAGACAAAAGATTTAGCGAAGGCTTCAGTGGACGCAGAAAATCAAAGTAAAGCAGCAGAACGATCCTTTTCTTTACGCATAAACATGCCTTTAAAAAAGTGGTTCCTCTGGTGTGCATGCTGGTTTTGCCCACTTTGTACCTCTTCCAGATGCAGTGTTGCACATTTCCATTGCCTCAAACAGCCGTATACCGTGACCTTAATGCCACCGAGCCACCAGAGACAGCTTTTACTTGTGTTGACGTGAGTTGGCCAACTCCATCTCGTTATGCGATCATTGGAAAAATCATGAAACGCTGCTTACTTCTGATCCCGGCTCTACAAACAGAACCCAACTCGGGGCTCTGGATGTGTTTGAAAGGTCAAAGGTTTGTGGAGGAGTTCAGCTGTCAGGCGGATCCAGACTACCCGGTGAGGTCATTCCCGGTTAGGCAGCCGCAGACGTCTTGGCGGTTGAAGAAATGAACTTTTGGTGTCGTTTTTGTCAGGTTTACTTGAGATTACATGTCAGGCAGCAAAAGTAAAGAGTAAATGGATTTTAATCCAATGCAAATGTTTAATTTAAATTGTACTTTGCAATTCTTCGGAAAAGCTAAACCATCCCAAAGTACACCCATTAAAAAAACACAACGTTCAAGAAAGCATTGTAACAATCTTTACCCTCTTTATGAACTCACTGCCTTTGATTTATTTGACGGTTTTCTGCCTCTGAACCTTTTTTTTGCAGGTGGAGGAGTCCATTGACTGGTGGAGTAAGTTTTACGCATCCGTCGGAGATAACAACAAGTGTGGGACGTATCTGGAGAAAGGCTTCGACACACTGAAGGTAAAACTGCTTCACGTAGTTTGAATGAGTTTGATTTATACTGTAGGGTTTAAAATATGTAATCGCCCAAAACAAACCGCACAGTTTGAAATGTTTTATCTCTCAAAAACATCATTTTAACTTTGGTTTGATGGATAGGTTAATAAAACAACAAAAATCTAAGCTTTTAGAAAAACACCGTGGTCTGAAAGTTTCGACTCGCCCCTGCTTTTCTCTTTCACGTGTTCTTCCAAGAAACCAGAATTTTTATTTGTAATCTTTTAAAGCTGATTCAGAACCAACACTTGCTTTTAAAACATGTTTTAAAATACTTCGATTGCGTTTTCCACTCATTTTCTGCCCAGTTCTTGAACCCACAGTGTACGAAAAGTATTAGTATAATGGAGGACAATGAAGAATTGTCAGGCTCAGAAAATATATCCACGGCTGATGAACCTAATTTAAAAAAATTATTAAATCCATCCATCTATTATCTTTACGCACTTCTTCCTTTTCGAGTCGTAGGGGGTCACTGGTGCCCAGATCCAGCAGTCACTGTGCGAGAGGTAGAGTTGCATTCGGGTCCAAAACATCAGACCCAACCCGCCCCAGCCCGTTACGAGAAATTAACAATAATTACAGGTCTGAACCCGATAACAACCCCCACCCCCAACATTTTTAATTAAGCTTTGACTGCTGGTCGGTGGATGGGCACGGCTGAATAAAGGGGGCAGAAGATCGGAGCTGAGGGGGCGTTTGCCCTTTCATGGCGGTCAAAGTGCATTAAATGCTTCCCCTGCATTCTGCATTATTCACACACGGACCATGCTCTGACATGTCAGATATTTTGTGATCTCACCTGTTTGGGTCTTCGGCCGCGCGCGTCCGCTGAGTGCTGCGGCTGAATGAACGTCCATTTGGGCGATGGATCGCTGGCTGTAGTCCTTCTGAAGCTTAACTGAACTTTTTACCTATTTCAAGGCCGGTCAGTGCACGGTCAAATGGCTGCGTGTGGCTGGTGATTGTACGGCAAGCCATGTTGCCATATAAGTGGATCGTCAGCCGCGCGCGTTTGCTGACGCCATCAAAAGCCCAAAACGAACCCAGTCCGCACATTATGCACATTATTAGGCCCGGCCCAGTCCAAATCCGTGTCGGGTGGGGCCGAGATCCGGGATCTGGGTTCGGGTTAGAAATGACAGCTCTAGCAAGAGGTGGGGGGACACCCATGACCGGTCTCAGTCCATCACAGGGACACAGAGAGACAAACGTGACAAACAACCATTCACTCTTTCACCTAGGGACAATTTAGAGTTACCAATAAGTCTAACATGCATGTTTCTGGTATGTGGGAGGAAACCGGAGTACCCGGAGAAAACCCACGCAGCACGGAGAGAACATGCAAACTCCACCCAGAAAGGCCCTCGGCCGGGATGTGATTCAGCAACCTACCAACTGCAACACCATGCCGCCAGTCTCCAATATAGACCTGACAAATTATGAGATATTTCAGTAAATTATAAGCTTGTTGATACTGTATGTACTGTTTTGTTTTCTGTCTGACAAACTTTGTTATTGTAGATATTAAAAAAGGAAATAGGGAAAAATGTGTCTTTGTAATCTGCTAGTATCAATGTAAGCAGTCAGCAAGTCATTAGGAACTAGTGGACAACAAAGACAATAATAGACAATCACAAATTGAGAATAACAAGTGAAAATAAAATGGTATTAAAAATGTAACCAAAAAAAAAAACAGCTAAACTAATAAAACTAAAACTAATAACAAGAACATTTCTGCATTGTTTTTTTTTTCCCATGAACTTAGCATCAGTGTTACTAGCTAGCTAGAATCAAATGGATTTTTAATGGATACCAGTGTGCGTGAGTAAAGTCAGGCACTACCTGTCCAAATACATTCGTAGCTACTTCCGTTAGCTACGGTAGAATAGGTTGATTGGTACAATACCAACTGTTAACTAGAGAAACTGCATTTCCTGTGCTAACACATTTATAGCTATCCAGTATATTAGTCAAATACTAGCTAGCTTTTAACTTAGTTAAACATATAGGTTAGTTTTAAAGAAATGTACAATATAAAATAGACTCTTAAATAGATTCTATTTAATAGAATAAAATAATAAATTCTTAAATGTCTTTGTAATTCAAAATGGCTGCCGCATGTAATGGACCTTAACCAACACAAAAAAGTCTAAATTCATAAAATTTTACAGCTACAGAGTTAAAATTTGGCGTGGTAGTAGCTGACACTGATCCCCAACACACTGAGTGATAACATATTGTGCAAGATATGTTGAGTGATTTTTTACTTAAAGTTTATTTTAATCTTTAATCAAAACGGCTCTAACTGTGTCATTCCTCAACTTATATTTAAAGTCTTGGTACAATATACACTCCTTGAATGAACGCTCAGTCTTTATATTTTTAATGTTTTTTCTCACTGCCCCTAACTGCACAATTAAAGAACATTTCTCTCTTCGGGTTCTTTTGTCTATCACTTGTTCTTTCCAGTCTTTCCCTTTTCTTCTCATGTTCTTTCCTCGGAGCTCACCGCCGTGACTTTCCATCCATTTTTCCAAACTCCTTTGATGACTCATTGAGGTGAATTTCCTGTGGGATCCCAGCAGTGGGACAGATTTGAAGAAAAGACCACTGTTGGATGTCAGACTGTCTGAAACCACCTATCACATCAGTTGATCGTCATCAAAGTCTGTCTTTGGTCACGTTCTTCCAAAGTTGTCCCAGGAGCCTCCTACCCGCTGCCGTCACCCACGCTCTGCTCAGCTCTAATCTCAGTTCTCTTGGTCCAAACAGCGACCTTTTATTCCGTCTGGACTCAAAACACGTCAGTCTTCTTGTCTGCTGTCCAAAAAATGATTAATCGTGTCAGAATGTGGCTTTAAATCAGATTCCCATCAATTTCTTTAAAACCCAACTCATATCAGCATTGCTACTTGGACTCAGCCTGTGTTTCTTGTGCCATTTTGCTCCCGGAGGAAACTTCTGGTTCACTTGGACATGTTTTACTGCTTTTCCACACAGACAGAATCTGCTAAAAGCACATGTGAGCCGACAAGAGCTGCGTATTAACATTTTGATGGTTTGACTGATGTCAGTTGATATGTTTCCACATGGTCAAAAGGACCTAAATAAAGCAATCAAAGTATCAAACACTAAACTAAAAATATAATTTCAGGTGTCCTTGTAGAAAAAGCCTTTCAGGATGTTGCCTTGCATTTTAGTTGGAAGCGAGTCTGTAGATACATTAGCATGAGAAAGAGAAAAATGTCGCTTCACATCACATCAGTGTCTACATGTCCATCCCAACCAATGCACCTTAGCAAACAGAAAAAAAGGACTAAGACTCAGTTTTACAGACAATGAGCTAAAATCTGGTGTGCTAGTAGTTGAATGTCATCCACAAAATATACTTTGAGCACTAACAGGTCACAAAAGATCTTGGACGTATGGCACGCAGGCCAGATGGCGATACGCAAGGGATCCTGTTTAGTTAGAGGTAGTCTTTAAAAAAGTAGCTTTTCAAAGATTTACAGATAGTTTACTTCTAATTGGAGGGCATCAAGAGCTGGATAACAATTATCTGAGGACAACTTCCGTCTCTGGTTATGTTTTACCCTTGTTTGTTGTAAACATCTGATCAAACTTTGGGAAAAGACAAATTAACCAATGATATATCAATACCACAGTAAAGTGTTGTAGTTTTAACTTTCATCTCTTTATTTCTTTCTGGTAATGAAGCCTAAAGAACCAAGAAGAACAACCATGTGCCCAATAGCCACTGACCTTTCAAAGACTCCCTCCAGTATTTTCCTCGGGCGTATTTTATACTCTCAGGAAACTTATTTAATGGTTTCACTCTGGCTGATGGAAACACGTAGAAATTGCCTTTGATTTTTTGCACAACTTCCAAACTTAAGCACCAAATTTCCTTGACAGTTGGATTGAAACGAGTAAAATGGACCAATGAGGCTCTGATCCCATTGTTGCTTGGCCTTTGTCTAACCCTAACTCTGCTCCCACCTACTTTGTGCTTCCTGAAGATCTAAACCCACCCTTGTTTGACGAGCCCTCTGCTCACGTCCAATACTGTCGCAGGGAATGAGACACTGTTTCCAACCTTTACCTTCCTCTCAAAACAGACTGCCACCTCTTTTAGTTTGCCTTCTTTCATTTGATTCCTTCAGTTTTTTTTGACAAAATATGGAAAGCGAACACACTCTTTACAGACTTGAAATGACCTAAGAAATATTCTCTCTCTCTGAAAATAATATTTTAACCACACTGAAGTTGCAATTTAGAGAAACAGAGTTTAAAGCCTGTATCTCATTTGTTGGCGACAAATTGTGGACGGTATTTGCAAGTGAGTTTCTGGCTGCGGTAGCTCGGTGGTCAGTGTCGCAGTCTTGTAATCCTGAGGTTGCAGATTTGAGCCCAGGTTGCATCAGGAAGGGCATTTAGCGTATCACAATTATCAGATCTTTCATGCGAGTTCCCTTGCTGTGGCGACTCCTGAAGACGAGAGTTTCCAAAAGAAACTTACAATTTGCAAGGGAGTTTCTAAAATATCCTAAAGGGTCTGCAAGGGTTCTTGCATGAGTCGCAGTTCCTCTTTGGCATCGTAAGAATTTTAAACTAGTTTGAAGCATTTGCACAAAGTACTGTAGTCTTAGTCAGGGCAGTACGGTGGTGCAGTTGGTAGAGAGCTGCTGCCTCTCAGCGAGCAGGTCGCCAGTTCAAATCCCGGCCGGGGGCCTTTCTGGGTGGAGTTTGCATGTTCTCTCCATGCATGCGTGAGTTTTCTCCAGGTACTCCGGTTTCCTCCCACAGACCAAAAACATGCATGTTACATTGATTGGTAACTCTAAATTGTCTCTAGGTGTGCGTGAGAGAGTGAATGTCTGTTTGTCTCTATGTGGCCCTGTGATGGACTGCAGGCTTGTCCAGGGTGTACCCCATCTCTTGCACAGTGACTGCTGGACATGGATACTAGTGACTCCCGTGACCCGAAAAGGAAGAAACGGGTAAAGATAATGAATGGATGGATGGATGGATGGATGGATGGATGGATGGATGGAT